GCAGCTGCAGTACCTTGTTAAGGTAGGGACTGAGGAACCGGTCACCAGGATCCCATAAGATGGCTCAGCTGTGCCATATTAGAAATATACTGCATACTGAGGACCTCTGGACACAGGGCAGGATACTGGAACACATCACCCATTAACTGCTGACGTCACCAGGCAACTTTACAAGAGGACACGGGGGGGGGGGGTTGGGGCTCAATCCCTGCACACTGCACCTGAGATTGCACAGCCCCTAGGTCGGGAGGTGAGCTCTCCTGTCTGCTTCCGACAATGTCCATCTTCCCCTTAGCTCCCTGCCCCTCCACAGAGGGCTCCGAGGACCCTGTCACCCGCTCATTGGCCCGATCTCGCAGTGGCAGATTCTCACAGCTGGCCCTGCCCCCAGCTGCACCTCTTTGGACCCCCTGAGAAGAATGCAGCAGGCAGAGATGTACTTGACCCTGGGTTTGCTCGAGCCACTCACTGAGATTCCCAGGGAAGCTTGGGGTAGCAGGAGGGAGTGGGGAAGGGGGTGATTGGCAGGCCAGAATCAACAGACTAGACACTCGGCTCAATTGAACACTGCCATGTATGATCTTCTGTGTGACTTTGGGCGTGTGGTTGGCTCTCTCTGAACCTTCCATATCTGTGTCCAGGGAGGAAAGAAGTCTGGCATAGCAGTACACCCCTGAAATCCCAGTATTGGGAGGCAGAAGCAGGAGGATCTAGACCAGCCTAGGCTACACAGTAAGACCCTGTCATTCTTTCAAACGGATGAATGAAATTTTAAAAATTGAAAAGAGGAGGCAGGGAGAAAGCCGGGCTACACAGGTGACATTAGTTCTTGAGTTGCTAATCCAATCGTGGGCCATAGTCAGTCAATATATCCCAGAAATTTTTGAAAATCCATTAAGAGTTTGTAACTGATCTCTCCCGATTTATACTTTCTGTGGTTGAAATTTCTGTAACTCTATCTTATATCCTAGGCAATGGATAGAATCTATTCTTTTTATTTTTCAGGAGCAATTTGTAATTCCCACGGCAAAATTCTCTTTATTTCATCAAACATGTTTTCTAAAGTATCTCTGTATGAATCAGCCAGTAGAGTATCATCCATACAATGGTGAATTATAGATTGAGGAAGCTGTTTACAATTTTTTTTTCTAATGACTGTTGTACAAAATGTTTACACAAAGTGAGGCTATTTAACATTCCTTGTGGCACGACCTTCCACTGGCATCGTCTAGCAGGTTGAGAATTATTTTAAGTGGGAACTGTGAAGGTGAATTTTTCTCGATGCTGTTCTTGTAAAGGTATAGCAAAAAGGCAGCCTTTTACATCAGTCAGTATAATAGACCATGTTATTTAGGCAATAAGGAAGGCAGGGAATTCCAGGCTGTAAAGAACCCATTCGTTGAATCACCTTATTAACAGCTCTTAGATCTGTTACCATTCTCATTTTTCTAGATTCCTTTCTAATGACAAGTATAGGAGAATTCTAGGGACTGGTCAGTTCTTCAATATATTGAGCATTTAGCTGCTCCAGTACCAGTAATTTTTATGTCAAAGGCCATTGTTCCACCCACACAGGTTATAGTCAGTTAACCATTTTAAAGGTAGGGTTGTTGATCCTTTGAAAGAGCAATAGCGGTTACCCCCTGTTCATATATAACCTCAACAATCTGTGCCTGTTCTTGATAATACCTTTTAATATTTCTCTCAAAAGCATTCTTTATTTTATGGCTTGTTTTTGAGATTGGAAAAAGGTTAATGTGTGTTTTTCATTGCGGTAACAAACCACATTCCTGTAAATTCAAAAACAAGGAACTGATTGGATCCTCTCTCACATGGTACAAGGAACACCAATTTTTGGAGCCCCTGCATTGTATACTAATGCAAGCAAATCAGGAAAGGAAGGTTATAAGTCAGTAAATCTAAGCAAAGTGGCTCAAAGCCCTTATGATTCTGTTTAAAAGTCAGAATCACATGTTATTCTCACAGTGTTATTAGATATTCCAGAACCTCCGAATACAGTTACTGACTCTCAATATGCAGAAAGAGTTGTTTTACATATTGGAACCACTGAACTTATTCCAGATGATTCAGAATTAATTTTACTATTTATTTAACTATAACAAGTAATCAGAAATATAAATCATCCGTTATATATGCCACATATCAGTTCCCATATGGGTCTACCAGGCCCTCCAGCACAAGGTAATGATGAAATTGATGCAGATATTGGTAGAAAACATGCTAGGAGCCTCAGAATTTCATAAGAAACACCACATTACCGGGACGGGCACCAAAGCTACAGAGAAACCCTGTCTCAAAAAACAAAACAAAACAAAAAAAGAAATACCACATTAATAGCAAAGGGTTGAAGAAATATTTTTCTATCACTTGGCAACAAGTCAAGGAAATTAAAGGAAATGTCCTACTTGTTCTTTGTATAATCAAACTCCACTACCTGTAGAATGTAACCCAAAGGGAGCTCAAAGAAATGAAATTTGGCAAATGGATGTGTTTTATTATGTGGAGTTTGGATAATTAAAACGTTTACCATAAAATCGGTACATATTCACGATTTCAATGGGCAACTGCTTTAAGTTCTTAAGAAGTCTGATTCTGTAATTACACATTTACTAGAAGTTATGGCCATTTTGGGGATACCTGTACAAGTAAAGACCGACAATGCTCCAGCATATGCCTCTAGTAAAATGAAACAGTTTTTTTTTTTGCAAATTACAACATAAAGTATATTACAGGTATACCACACAATCCTACAGGATAAACAGTTATAGAAAGATCTAATCACACTTTAAAAGACATGCTTAATAAACAGAAAGGGGTAATAAAGACTCCCAGAGGTAGATTACACAGTACTTTATTAACTTTAAACTTTTAAATGATAATGAAAAGGAATAATAGCTGTGGAGAGACACTTAATAATAGAAAAACCTACTGAATTAAACCAGCTTATGTTCTTTAATGATGTGTTGACCTCAGAATGGAAGCCAGGATATGTGTTACATTGGGGGAAGAGGTTTTGCTTTTGTTTCCACGGGAGAAGAAAAGCTATGGATACAATCTTGAATAAAGAGAGGTGATAGTTGATTAAACGGTTTTGTCATTCATTTTAAACTAACTTATAAGGCTAACAAATGCCTTTCATTGGATCAGGTATGAAAAAAAATAATACTTTTTCTGTTGCCAAGAAAACATTTTGTCTTAACAAAGATATAACCTGACAAAAAAGGAACTCTCCAAAGTTAGGGTTGGGTTAGGGTTTTGGTTTTGTCTTTTCAGGAGAATAAAATCATCTAACTAAGGACTCTGAAGACCACGGGAAAATGTGACATCTGAAGAAGAAGAAGAAGAAGAACAAATCACTTAGAGAAACGTCCCAAGAAAAGTAGCAAATTGGCCTAATGGTATAGTACACCTCCAACAGGGTATAATTTCATCAATCTTCCCAAACGTTTGTTTCTGCTGCTCTCTACAGACATATAAGGTAAATGGCCTTTTTGTGGTCTAAATTCAATTAAAATTTAAATGTAACACAATTAATAGAAGTCCAGAGACAGAAATTGGGGTTCAACATGAAGGTCAGAAAAGCAAAACAGCCAGCCATTGGCTCTTAACTCTACCTCAGTCCGAAATGGCGATCCTGCCTCCAGGAATCTCAGAATGAGACTGTGTCTGAGAGCTGTCTCCTCCTGTCTTATATTTCTTTCTAGGGCTGGGATTAAAGGCAAGCACCACTATCACCCAGTTACTATGGCAAACTAGGGTAGCTATTGGGATTAAAGATGTGTCACCACTGCCTTGTCTGGAAAGCTGACCAGTAGGGTCTCTGGTCTTTAGGCAAGCTTTATTTATTAAAATACAAATGAAATACCACTACATTTCCCCTTTTGTCTAAAATAAAGGATTGTCATTTAAAATTGTAATGAAAAGTTCTAGTAAGCTACTACAAACTATTTAGGATAATTAAGGGGTTTAGCTATAGACAAAAGAAAGCTCTATTTAGCCTCCTATATTTTAAATAGATAAGTGATCTTAAAATACTTAAGAAATTTACAGAATATGGCATTTAAGATATTTTAATAACATAAAGCTTTTCATGACAGTGAGACACATCTGCTTCTGGTAGCACCAATCTCCTTAAGAAAAGATGATGGGCATTGAAGAACCTTCATATGGAGTTTGCTTTCAATGTAGCAAAGTTAGTCACTGGGAAAGAAACTGCCATTGCCTCGAATGCTGACAGTATGCTGTCCAAATTGTACAAGCAGGACATAAAGCAAAATGTCTGCCAAACTTTAGCAGGACAGGGAAGGACAATCCTTCAACATTAGTGCTTCACAAGAAAATCTGTCTGATAGTCTAGGCTGGTAGGCCAAATATGGATGCCCTGACATCACAGAAGAACCTTGGGTGACTGTCCAGGCAGCTAGATGTTTCTGTGTTAGAATTAAAACCTGCCCTTTTTATTTGGACGGGAAGGGGGAAATGCTTCAGAATATTTGATCACACTATGACACCCTGAGACTGTGTTAATAAAATTAACCTGGAATCGGAGTAGAGCCAGTGACTAGTTGACAAGAATTGGTCATAGAGGATATAGAGGACCCAGGATATGAATAGAGAGACACAGGAAGGAGGAGGGAGGGACTTGAAGATTCTTGGGTTTTTGGCCCTTCCCTTTTGGTCTAGGAAGTGTGGAGAGAAGGTCAGCTGGTCATTCTTTCACATGTTCTTTGATCTATTAGGTTTTTACCCCAAAATCTGACTCCCAAGTCTTTACTGGTACTAGAACAACTTAGGTGAGCACAAGCTGCAAATGCTCCTAACTGCTAGGACATCTTTCCAGGCTCTAGTTATATTTTCTTCAGCGCTGGGATTGAACTCATGGCCTGTGCGGGCTAGACAAGCACTGTATTAAAGAACTCTATCCCAGCTCTTGTCCTCTCTTTATTTGGACCTTGTGTTTTTTTTTTTTTTTTTTTTTTTTTTTTTTTTTTTTTTTTTTTTGCCCAGGGATTCATTTTTGATATTCACCAATTTTACCAAATCTTTCCTAAAATTTTGATGTAAAAAACAAACAGACAAAAACCCAAAACCTTTTCCCCACCAAGTTCCATTTGACAACTGTCCATCTCTTCTCTGGGTCCATCCTGAGGTTTTCCTGTCTTCCCAAACTCAGGACCCATTCCTCCCCTCCGGCCCTCACTGCTCTGCTCAGGTCAGCATCTGCGCCCTTCTGTTCTCAGGACCGTTTCGCTGAGTGCAGGGTTCCCCGTGGTCTCCGCACCATTGCTCAGTCCATAATTTCCATCCTGCTGTCTTCTTTGAAGAGAGGGTTATTTCAAAGGCTGCTTTTGACATTTCCGGGTGGATGGAGTTTCTTGCCATCCCGCAGAGCTCCGGGCTATCTGCATTGGAGGATGTGGTCAGGATGACATGATTTATTTCAGTTTTGTTGAAACTTGCTTTGACTTTCAAGGCTGTCCCATGCCCTGCTCGTGACTGACGCAGAGTCCCCCTCACATTGACTGGGTCAGTCTTGTTAACTTTCTATGTTCATCCAATCTTCTAGTGATAATTGCACTGTTTTGTTTGGTTTGGTTTGAGTTTGGGTTTTTTTGTATTTATTTATTGTTGTTTTTACATCCTGATGTAGTTTCTCCTCCCACTTGCTGTGCTCTCCCATCCACTCCTCCTCCTTTCTCTTCAGGAATGGGCAGGCCTCTCGTGGATATCGACCAGCCATTGTATATCAAGTTGCAGTGAGACCAGGCACCTCCTCTCCTATTCAGGCTGGACAAGGCAACCAGGTAGGAGGAAAGGGTCCCAAAAGCAGGAAACAGAGTCAGACACAGTCCCTGTGTCCACTGTTAGGAGTCCCACAAGAAGAGCAAGCTACACAACTGTGATACATCAGTCCCATGCAGGCTCCCTGGTTCAGTCTCTGTGAGCCCCTATGAGCCCAGGTTAGTTGATTCTTGGTGTTTTCTTGTGGTGTCCTTGACCCCTCTGACTCCTACCATCCTTCTTCACACCCCCTCCCCCGTTTCATAGGATTCCCCGAAGTTGGTCTAATGTTTGGCTGTGGGTCTCTACCTCTGTTTCCATCTGTTGCTGGGTGAAGCCTCCCTGATGACAATTGGGCTAGACGCCAATCTGTGAATATAGTAGATCATTGGGAATAATTTCATGGACTTTTTTTTTTTTTGCCAGTTGTATTTGGTTCTATCCTGGGTCTCTGGGCTGTCCAGCCTCTGAGTCCTGGCCCTGCAGGCAGTGTCAGGGGTGGACTCCCTCCAGTGACATGGGTCTCAAGCTGGACCAGTCATTGGTTGGCTGCTCCCACAATTCCTACGCCACCTTTAACCTAGCACATCTTGTAGGCAGGACAAATCGCAGGTGGAAAGTTGTGTGGTAGGACTGGTGTCCCAATCCCTCCACTGGAAGCCTTGCCTGGTTACAGGAGATGGCTGGTTCAGGTTCTGTATCCGCCATTGCTAGGACTCTTAGCTAGAGCTATGCTCAGAGATTCCCGGGAGTTTGCATCGCACTAGGTTTCTAGCTCATCCCAGAGATGCCCGCTCCGTTCTAGCCGTCTTTCCCAGTACGTTGTCCCTCCATCCTTCCCATACCTGATCCCTCCTGTTCCCCACCACCACCCAGAGACCCCCTCCCCTGCCCACCAGCAGTGTCTGTTCTATTTCCCCTTTGCCCTTGAGCCCTCCTTGTTACTTATCTTCTCTGGGTTTATGGATTGTACTGCTCTGTTTTTGGAACCCTCTGTTTTTTAACTATCAAGACACATGGACTACTATTTCCCCTATTATTCTCACAAGAACTGGACCGATCAATTTTAGTTTCATTTATTTATCTTTTTATTACATTTTTATTATTTGTATGTGTGTGTGTACATGATTGTGTCCTTGGATAAACTAGCCCATTTTATCGAACTTGCCAAGTGTATGTTCGTGAGTCTTTCTGTGGAACTAAGAAGGATAGAAAGATTGGGGAAACCAAGGGGATACAGGAAAGGATTCCTTTAATAAACCACTGGCTTGGGGTTGGAGGGATGCCTCAGTGATTAAGAGCACTGACTGCTCTTTCAGAGATCCTGAGTTCACTCCCCAGCACCTGCACAGTGGCTCACAACTACCTATAACTGTAGTCTCATGCTATCTAATGGCCTTTTCGGTATGCAAATGTACATACAGAAAAAAAACACACATAAATAAATAGATAAATATTTTTTAAAAATCAAGAAATAAACCATTGGCTTCTGGCTTCAAGACCACCAAAAACTGAGGATCTGAGTCTGGACTCCCTGGGAGCTGGTTCTAGGTAGAACTCACTTCCAAGTAGATGCCCTTTTTGGTTCCAGCCCCGGCAATTGTTTGGCCCACATTGAGGATGCGTCTTCCTCCCTCTTTTAAACATCCCTCAAGCTTGTCTCTTCCCATAGATGCCCCCTTCCCGACCATACACACACACACACACACACACACACACACACACACACACGGACCATGGAAATTCTCACGTCAGGGAGAAATGATGGTAAGAAAGGATCCTTACCATCAATTTGATAGGATTTGCAGTCACCTGGGAGACACAAGTCTAGTCATTTCCAGAAAGGCTAAACTGAAGAGGGAAGACCTGCCCTGGCTGGGCGGCACCATTCCATAGCCTGGAGTCCCCAACTACATAAAGGGAGAACCAGCATCCATCTCTCTCCGCTCCCTCACTGCAGATATAATGTGACCGGCCACCTCAGGCTCTTGACACCTTGACCTCCTCACTGTGACGGACTGTGAGCCCTTAAACTGTGAGCCACAATAAATCCTCCCTTAAGTTGCTCCTGCCATAGCAACAAGGAAAGTAATTAATGCCAGAGAGGTCTCTCTCAGATCCCTCTTTCTCAGGTCTGAGCCATCCTCCCGTCTCAGGTGTAACTCCTGAAAGTGAAGCGCCACCATCTTGAGAGAAGGGACTCAGGGTGGTATGTCCACTTTATAAACCAGTCTGACAGTTTCTTCTTAAGTTAAACAAAGGCTTCCCAGGCAACTCAGCAATCTCCCAAACTAGCTATTAACCTGAGCTCACCTGAGTGTGAACATTGGTACGGTCTCACTCATCATAAAAGTACAGAGAGAAACTCCTCACATCCTTCAAGAAGCACATAGATCACCCCACCATCCATCCACGCAGTACCAATGCACACAAACACACACAGCATGGAGGAGTTGCTAGTGCACTGAGGAGAACTAGGTATCCAAAAGGGGAAGTTGTCTGGGTTCATCTGTATTTGCCTAGAAAAGGCAAACCAGGAAGGCAGAGTGGGTATCTGCCAAGGCTAGGGCTGAGAAGGGTAGGGGCTCCAAACATATAGGGAAATGGGTTGAAGGGGATCTACTTTAGCTGTGGCAATGGGTAGTCCTGGTCAAAACTCAGAGGGAGGCTAAGGATGTAGCTCAGTTGCTAGAGTTCTTCCCTAGCACATACGAAGTCCTGGGTCCCATCCCCAGTATTACATAAACCGTTCATGGTGGTGCACACCTGTAATCCCAGAATTAGGGAGGTGGAGGCAGGAGAGTCCAGTACTAAAGGTCAGCCTGGGCTATGTAGGGACGTTTAAACCAACTGGGACTATGAGACCCTATCTCAAATAAATAACAAATAATAAATAATAACAATAACAGTTACAAATCTACTCTATGTAAACTGGCCGTGTCTTTGTAAACAGAAAAGTTCTGGTTCACAGGAAGGAGAGGGGAAGGCACTAATGATTTGGACGTACATTCTTGTATGTGCATGCAGGTACGTGTGTGTGCACACATGCATAGTGTGAACAGGACTCTGCTCTCCTGCCTGCCTAGTCATACATTTTGAGACACTTTGTACACGGTCCCAAGTCAACCAGGTAAATGCCATTCAGGAACCTCAAAGAGAAGACAGTGTGTAGAAAGGAGAGCCCCCGTTTAGGCCTCCACACAGCTGCTCCCCACTTCCTGATATGATCTTGAAGATCATATCCCTTTTCTCGGGCGACACTAATGGCCATAATTAGCTGGTATAAAAACATGAGGCATGGAAGGCAGAGAGGTGGTAGGTACCCTGTGACTCACACATTTCTGGGGAGCAGCAGCTCTGGCTCAGGGGACCTGTGGTTGGCCAGACTCCTGAGAGAGCCCAGCAGATTTGAAGATGTTCCAGCAGCTTTAAGGCCAGAGCTTTGAGAAAGGACTTGACTCAGCCCTACTCAGCATTCACAGAGATTCAGGCCTACTCAGCATCCATGGGATTCAGGCCTACTCAGCATCCACAGGAACTCAGGCTTAGTCAGTATCCACAAGGACTCAGGCTTATGCCAAAGAGCCAAATCCACAATGCCAGTTTCATCGGCAGCTGACGAGTTGGGGTGCTCTTGAAGAACCGGATGGAACCAAACCCCTCAATCCCAGGACTGACCACAGAGACAGCGCCTGAGCCTCACCTGTCTCCTGGGGCAGTGGGAAGGTCCAATTAGCCACTGTAAAAGGCACTTAGCACCTGCCTGCCATTACCATTAGCCCACCCCCACCCAGGTAACAGGTGAGGTAACCTGGTACTAATAAGGGAGCTGTCCAGAGTCACACTGCTACTGGGTTGCCAAATGGGTATGCCGTGGTCTCAAACCTCACAGGACAGCCTGCCGGAAGCAAAACCTTGCTCTGGTAGAAGTTTCTAGACCTAGATAGGAATAAAAGTATTTAAAGGATGCGACTGTGACTCCCCTGGGCCCCTCCCACAGGTAAATTTGGCCATGATTTTTAAACAGCAAGGCTCCAGTTCACAGGAAGGACAAAGTTGCTACCTGACCTCGGCTCTGAGCACCACTATCCCCTCCTCATTGCTACCCCTCCCCTTCTCCTTGAGCCCTCCCCCACCTTCCTCATTTCAAGGCCTGAAAGCCTTGGTCGTGCGTGCGTGGCACGGACAGGACCGGATCAGCCCTGTCCTTCTGCAGCTGATGTTCTAGTAGAGAGTGGGAATGGTAAAATTTAAGACAGGAAACACAATTTCAAATTGCAATGCGGTCTGTGAAAGAAATAAATAGAAAAGCCTGGAGAAAGCCTCCTGCGTAAACAAGCATGGAAGCTGAAGGCTTGTGGGTAAGAAGCCCCGAACGGTGTCAGGAGCCGTGCCCATGTGAGGAGAAGAGAGTGTACACACAGGTCTTAGGATGGAAACCTATCTCAAGGGCTTAGGGGATGCATGACACCCCAGGCAACGCCAGGTCACAAGTCTTTCCCTCCCTGCCCTCCCCAGCTGAGCCCTGAAACGTGTTCTCCAAGGAGTGGATGCTGGGGGAATCATGGAGGTGGGATTGGTGAGGACGGAGAGTGGGGATGTTGACAGCAACGAGGGAGGACCAAGCCTTCGTGAGTGCTTACCACGATCCTGGCGAGGTACTAATCCCTTGACACCAATCCCCATGCCAGCCGTATGAGGTAAGAGTAATTGCTTTAATAATGGGTAATATTTACTACTTAGTGCATAGCCGGCATTCTTGGAAGAGCTTACAAGTGTCAACCCTTTCAAGGCAGGAACCATTATGCCCCCTGGATTAGAGATGAGGAAACAGGGACATTTAACAGCTCACCTGAGCTCTTCCAGCCAGTTACTTGAGTTCATATGTTCTCCTGGCTCTCCTGGTTCTCCTGGCTCTAGGCAGGAGTTGCCGGGACCCCTGGGGAACGGGTGTCTACCTTCTGCATAGACTGGAGAAGTCATCGTGGTGGAGGCTATGCCGGCCCAGCCATAGGGATTCGCAATTTCCCAGGTGGGGCATGAGGCAGCTTGGTGTTTAGGTGCTTTGAATGGGTTCCGGGAAAACTTGGGGCATTGGGTGAGACGCTTGGCTTAAAGAATGGGAAAGAGCCTGGTACCAAAGGGGCCCAGCAAGGTTGGAGGGCTTGAGCTGCATTCTGAGGTCTGTGAGGGGCTGGAAGCCCTGGCCTCTCCCCCAGCTGTCGAGATCTAGCCTAGCCTAAGCAGGCGTGGGAATGCTAAGGCTTCCTAAAACCAAGCCCTCAGCAGCCTCCCCAACCCCAAGAAAGGGTGGGTCCTGCCTCTCACCCCACTCCTGTCACACCCCAGGCCTCTCTCCCACCACCCCTCATGCTGCTCCCAGGCTTGGCATACGGCTTCTTCCACCGCCATGATGCCCATTCCTCTCCCTCCAGGCTCTCAGTTTTCTGTCAGCCTGTCCCCAGTTCATCCCTCTTCAGGAACCCCTCAGAGACACTCCAGGAACCCCTCGGTATACACACTGCCTACCACATCAGGCCCACCCAGGTGAGTTGCTGGCATAACCACTCCCTGCTTCCCTCTTTCGGGACCTCTATGGTAACAGACCCTGCTTCCCTTCCTGCTGGTCCAGCTCTCAGGTGTCCTGTGAGTTCCTTCAGGGCCAAAACCAAACCTAATAATTACACGTAGGGCTGGGCACTGTTTCCTGGCCACTCCACAGGTGGACCGGTGTCATGAACATGGGGTGCTGTGACCCACTCTGGGGGTGTTCCTTTACCCTCTGTTCTTTGGGAGTGGAGTCTTCTAGAAGGGGCACTCTCCATGATTGTGGTGGACACCGAATGGCAGGTCTGGGGTCTAAGAGGCCCACAAGTCCTCAGGGAACTGGCAGGTCTGGAGAGATGCTGGTCTGTACTCGTCCCCAAGGCCAGGTGTGAATCCAGGCCCACAGAGTCCAGTCAGACAAAAGCACGAGTTCCTGCCACTCTGCCCTGCCAGACTACAGTCAGTTAGGACAGCAGCAGACAGGCAGAACTCGGTCCTGACCCACCGGTATGTTTCCTCTCTCCTTCTCATGGTCCTCTGGATACATGAAGGTGCCCAAGGCATTGCTTCCGTCACACAGGCACCTACAGGTCATTGATATTTACTGAAGACCAAGAACACACCATGGTCTGGAACCCAGGACAAAAACCTGTGAGAGACACACAGTACCAGATCCTTAGCACAGGGTCTCAGTGGCACCTAACTGTGGGTCCCGTAGGTAGAGACACTCAAAGGCCTCACTCATGATGGAGTGTGGTCCAGATATAATCAAGACAACCCGCCACATCTGAGGGACTGCTCCGTCCCATGTCCAGAGTGAGCTGAGGGGCAAAGTCCATGAGTGGCTGGGAGAGGCAGCCGAGTTCAGCCGAGTGTCCCCAGCCCTGTACCCTGCCATCATAAAGAGGATGGCCGGGCATAAGGATTGACTCTGGGAACCTAGAGCACCCACCACTAACCCAGGGAGGACACAGATCATGAGGTCACAAAGGGTCTATGGCTTTGACAGCAAGGACATCCTCCAAAGGACTGAGAAGGAGTGGGCCTGGGACACCCATCAAGAGGCATGGGGTAGGGGGACAGCTCCAGCAGCTGGTGAACTGACCCTCCACCCCCAGGCACAGTCCTGCTGGTAGTACTGAGTCACAAGTCACTCCCCCCAGGGGCCCCATGTGGCTTCCTTATGAGGCCCCATCACATCCTCGTGACCAGCCACTGAGCCACTAAGCAAGTTACTCACTGTCTAGAGACCAGAGCGAGCAGTGGAGGAGGGTGGTAGGACTTGACCTTGCCCCCTCTCACCCACCCACCTCCCCCCGTTGTTGTTTCTTCTTTCCTCGCTAGAACAGGGCCCAGTATCCAGGTTAGAGGGTCTACTCCCAGGCGGGGTTAGTTCCTTCCTCTATACCGGCACCCCAGAACTCTGCCCTGGCAGAAGTGAGATGACTCTCAGAGATGACCTGCCCCCCAACAGCACCAGGAACCTTCTAGGCTCCTGCCCTGAGACACTAGATAAGCTTCTCCAGCTTGGAGTCACCCTGGAGATCTGAGTACACCCATGGGACACAAGGCCACAGGCAAATTCTGACTCTCAGTTGTGGGACCCCAAGCAATCTGCTACCACTGTCCCACCCACACCCAGAGCCTGCAACCCCCACCTGCCTTGAGGGGCTGGCGAGGAATGACGCAATGTTTGCGGAGTGTTTAATAGGGCCGGCCCCCGGTGAGTGGCCTTCAAATGGGCGCTGTTATCTTCATTAAAGAGGAATCACGGGAGAGGACCACGCCTTGGTGCCCAGCGCTCCAGTTTACAAAGTCTATGGTGGAGCATGGGAGCCTGGAGGAGGACTATGAGGTGACAGGGATGGAGACACTCTGCAGACTCCAGAGACACAGACGCCTGGCCTGGTATAGCATCCTGCCCCTAATCCGGCAGGTGACCGCTCTGTGCTACACCAGATCCTTACAGGCCGGGTGCCTGGAAAACATTACCCCACCTCATCTGTGAAATGGGAGAACAGCAGCTCCCACACAGCAGGTGATGCATGGAGCCAGACCCATCCGCCTTCCATGCAGGTGCTCACAAGATCATTGTTTGTTGAGTGACTGATCTGTGCTGCGTGATTGGCTGAAAATGTCGTGTCTCTCCCTGTGATGATATTGTCAGATGGAGGGAGCTGTGTGTCAACCTGGGACCCTGGGAAGGTGGGGAGAAGGGGATTAATTGGTGGGTGTATTCAGAATCATCACTGGGAGAGACATGGGGAACATCTTGGGTGGGTGGAGGAAGAAGCCAGCACTGGAGACTCCAGCAGAGGCCTCAGTCACACCTCTGAAGTCTTCATGGCTGCCCTTCCCCTTGAGGCGATCTACGCATGGCTGTTCCACTGAGAATCCTTTTTTCCACATCTATGGCAACTGGTGTAACCAGTGTATGTCCAAGTTGTTTGAGAGGACAACAAGTGACAAGGACGGTTTCTCTGTTGTGTCCAAGAAAGAGAGAGAAGAAAAAGGAAGAAGAGAAGGAATAAAGGAAGGAAGGAGAGAGGGAGGGCACTCACCTTTTCCCTTTTCTCCCTCCCCATTAGCTAGAATGCAGATGTGATCAAGGAACCTAGGCAGACTCTTTAGATCGTGAGGTACTAGCCAAGTATAAGGTGAGTGGAGCAACAATAGAGAAGGAGCCTGGGACCCAAGCAATCAATCATCTCCCTCATAGACAACACACATCCCACTCTGTCAACTCCTCTCTTATTAAAATCACTGCCTTTCTGATCTTTGTGACAGCAATTATTGACAGCCGATTGAAAACCCATTTGGAAGGATTATTTGCTGTCTCTCCTTTTTCTTAAAAAAAAAAATTTAAGCTGGGTGGTGGTGGCGCACGCCTTTAATCCCAGCACTCGGGAGGCAGAGGCAGGCAGATCTTTGTGAGTTCGAGGCCAGCCTGATCTACAAGAGCTAGTTCCAGGACAGGCACCAAAGCTACAGAGAAACCCTGTCTCGAAATACCAGAAAAAAAATTATCTGTGCTGGACAAGTACAAGTTTTGGGTTTTTTCCCCCCTAAACAGTGCAGGGTAACTGCTCTCCCCTGTGCTTTGATAGCCGAGAGATGAGTGCTAGCTAATGTCAACTTGACATAAACTATAGTCCTCGGAAAGGAGGAAACCTCGGTTGAGAAGATGCTTCCGTAAGATCAGGCTGTAGGCAAACCTGAAGAGAATTGTCTTAATTAGTGATTGATGGGAGAGAGCCCCGCCCATTATGGGTGTGCCACCCCTGGGCTGGTGGTCCTATAAGAAAGCAGACTGAGGAGCAAGCCAGTAAGCAGTTCCCCTCCATGGCCTCTACATCAGCTCCTGCCTCCAGGTTCCTGCCCTGTTTGAGTTTCTGTCTTGACTCCTTCAGTGACAGACTGTGTGGATGTGGAATTATAAGTCAAATAAACCCTTTCCTCCCCCAACTTGTTTTTGGGTCACGGTGTTTTCATCACAGCAATAGAAACCCTAACCAGGACAAGTTGCCTTATGGTCTTCAGTCTTCGAAGGGATGTTTGGGAGTTCAACCCAAACAGTACAGTGTTTCACAGAAAGAAAATGGGTCTGTTTGGGTTTTGGTGTTTGTAGGATTTATAGACTGTCAAAATAGTGTTCCCTTTAGAGCTGCAACACTTATATTATGTAGCCCAGGCTGCCCCAAATTTACTACATAGCCAAGGATGACCTCAAACAGCTGATCTTCCTGCTTCCACCCTTGAGTTCTGGAATCATAAGCATGGACCACCACTTGGAATGAAACTCCAGTTTTGGTGCACGCTAGACAATCTATCTAATACCTGAGCTGCAGCCCCAGCTGGCTTCGTGTAGTACCTAAAACAGTGGTGTCTGTGGACTGGTGGGTCTTAGACTTGAGGGAATACTGCCTTTTCCGTCTTCACATTTTGCAAAGGAGGAAACTAAGGGAAAGAGAGGCAAAATCCAAGCCATTGAAAGGTCTTGGGTGCAGGTTCAAGAGGACACTGACGGCTGGGCATTGGTAGGGCATGCCTTTAGTAGGCAGATCTCTGCAAGTTCGAGACCAGCCTGGTCTACAGGGTGAGTTCCAGGACAGGCAAAACTACACAGAGAAACTTTGTCTCGAAAAAAACAAATAAAAAAGAGGGGGGCACTGATGCAGGTTGTTGGGGTTACGGGGGGTTGTTAATGCTGTGATAGACAGTACAGCAGGACTCTGAGAAGAGGAAATAGGGGTCCACACGGCAGAAGCAGGTGTGGGGTGGGAGGGTCTCTTCTGAGAAGAGGGGAGGTTACGCACTTGCAGCCAGGCTCTCTGGTTCCCAGGTAGGAAGCAGGGAAGAGGTAGGAAGCCCAGTGTGTGTCCACCAATACCCATTTTGATGTAAACTCACCTCCCAGAAGCGAGACCCCTGGCCTCTGGGAATCTGTTATCTGGGGACCCACAGCTGGAGTCTCAGTAGGTGCTTGTTGGTGCCTGAGAGAAGGGCTGCAGATGTGATCTGAGCCACAGCTGGATTCTCACACTATTCTTACAGTCACATGCCTTCAACTGGGGATAGGCAGCTGGAACCTGAACAGAGGCATTGGCACCCAAATTGTGACCCTCTGCCCCCAGGGTGTCGCTTCCTTTCTTCAGTATTAGCAGACAGCTTCCTCATAAGGAAGACAAGGGATAGATGGAGCAAAGAGCCCCCCATGCATAGGAAGGGAAACCAAGGCCCGGAAAGAAGGCTTAGAGAGGTTGGGGCACAGTGGAGTGAGGTCACAGACCCTCTCACACACACCTGCCCACACGGCATGTCACAGAAGGAAAGAGCTACACCCAAGCTGCCTTTGCCTTTCCTTGTGGCTTTAGCCCAGAACGCAAAAATCATTACTCGGCCCTCATCCTCTGGCTGCTTCTCTGGAAGGCGCTCAGGGCAGCTGGCAGGGAAAGTAGAACCACAGAGCCCTGACTCACTCTCCGCCCCAATTACCAGGAGCAAT